AATCCATATTTGGTCATAGCTCCCATACAAGGTTCCCACCTGAAAATCACTTAAAGGTCCATAACTCATTACCTAATTCAGATATTTATACAAAATTTGACACAGATATTACTTTTGCTATGCAGAAATGTTACCGTAAAATTTTTTTCCGATCGGTCCACAATTGGTTAAAGCTCCCATACAATGTCCCCTTCTGAAAATCACTTAAACGCACATAACTCATTAATTAATTAAGATATTTATACAAAATTCGGCACAAATATTACTTTTGTATAGACAAATGTTACCGTAAAAGTTTTTTCTGATCGGCCCACAATTGGCTCCCATACAAGGTCCCCACACGAAAATCACTTAAACTCACATAACTCATTACTTAATTAAGATATTTATACAAAATTTGACACAAATATTACTTTTGTATACAGATATGTTACCGAAAAAGTTTTTTCCGATGGGTCCACAATTAGTCATAGCTCCTATACAAGGTCCCCACCTGAAAATCACTTAAATGCACATAACTCATTACTTATATGTATAAAATTTATACAAATTTTGACACAAATATTACTTTTTTATACAGAAATGTTACCGTAAAAGTTTTTTCCGATCGGCCCACAATTGGTCGTAGCTCACATACATTGTCCCCACACTAAAACGCACTTAATTAAGATATTTATACAAAATTTGCACAAATATTACTTTTGTATACAGAAATGTTACCATAGAAGTTTTTTCCGATCGGGCCATAATTGATCATTACTCCCATACAAAGTTTTTTCCGATCGGCCCACAATTGGTCATAGCTCCCATACAAGGTCCCCAAAACTCATTACTTAATTAAGATATTTATATTTTTTGTATACAGAAATGTTACCGCAAACGCGTATAACTCATTACCTAATTAAGAAATTTATACAAAATTTGGCAAAAATATTACTTCTTTACACAGAAATTAAACGGAAAATTTTTTCCTATCGGTCCACAATTGGACATAGCTCCCGTACAAGGTTCTCTTCAGAAATACACTTAAACGCATATAACTCATTTCCAAAAAATTATATCCATACAAAATATGGCACAATTATTACTTTTATATACAGAAAAGATACTGTAAATTTGTTTAACGATCATCCATAACTGTTCTTAACTCCCATACATTCAACAAAGAAAATTATTATATAGGTAAAGCATATTTTAGGGCGCTATTCAAATATAAAAGAAAATGGTGTTTGTAATGTTCAGTTGTATCCTATTTGCCGGGTTCAGTTGTATCGGGTCTAGGTGAAATAATGGACCGATGTTAACCATTTTCAGTAGGCTTTGTCTCCGACACCATAGAAGATCATCTACCAAATTTCATTGAATTATCTTCAAAATTGCGACCTGTAGTTTGATTAAAAGGTTTACAAGCCCTATTCGGGGGTTCAGTTGTATGGGGGCTAGGTGAAATAATGGACCGATATTAACCATTTTCAATAGGCTTCGTCCCTGGAACAATAGAAGATCATGTGCCAAATTTCATTGGATTATCATCAAAATTGCGACCTGTAGTTTGATTACAAGGTTTACATGGACGGATAGACGGACGGACATAGCTAAATCGACTCAGAAATTGATTCTAAGCCGATTGGTATACTTTAAGGTGGGTATAGGACCAATATTATTGTGCGTTACAAACATCAGCACAAATCCAATATACCCTCCCCACTAAAGTGGTGTAAGGTATAAAAATATAAAAGTAGCTGGGGTGTTTAAGATTCGGCACAGCCGAATATAGCACTCTAACTTGTTTTTTTTTTTTTAGTATTTCGTTTCATATGTTTGGATGGCTGTGTGTTTCATTGTCTTGTGTATATTGTTTTTGTTTTTTGGTGTATTCAGTTTCGTATGTTTGGACGGCTGTGTGTTTCATTGCCTTCTGTATATTGTTTTTGTTTCTTGGTGTATTCAGTTTCGTATGTTTGGATGTCTGTTGGTTTCATTGCGTTGTGTATTTTGTTTCGTATGTCTGTTGGTTTTACTACCTTGTGTGTTTTATTTTTTGTGTGTTTATTTCGTTTAGCGTTGTTGTTGTTCGTTTTATGATTTATTTATATTTTTTTTTATTTTAAAAATTTATTTTTTATTTTAAAAATTTATTTTTTATTTTAAAAATTTTAAACCTTTTTACAATTTCTTGTTTGGAATTTCTTTTCTTAGGGACTAAATGTGGCTATTAATTATGTTATTTAATGGTTATCTGACATACAACCTAACAGAAACAATTTTGAGTTCTTTTAAGCCCCATTTACATTATACCACAAGTAAGATGATCTGTCAAAGTTTTGTGTAGAAGAGAACGGATGGGATAGCCTAAGCCGGTAGTCCACACTAAACGTCTTCGCGGCAAAGCATTTCGTCCTACACTTCATAAGCGTAAATTTTTTGCTTTATTTAAAAAGAACTTCGCGTTTTTTTAAGTTTTTTGTTTATATTTTCACAATTTAACAATTTAATTTAA